AGGAAGAGGAGGAGGGAGGGAGGAGGAGGAGGAGGAGGAGGAGGAGGAGGAGGAGGAGGAGGAGGGCGAGGAGGAGGCGTCACAATGCTATGGTACTGTGGGCGGTGCTGCAGGCGCCGGAACCAGGAGCTCTGCGCTGGCACGGCGGCAAGACTCGCGGCAGGCAGCTGGATAGGGAGGAGGAGGAGGGGGGTAGGAGGGGGAGGGAGGAGGAGGGAGAGGAGGGAGGAGGAGAGGAGGAGGAGGAGGAGGAGGAGGAGGAGGAGGAGGAGGAGGAGGAGGAGGAGGAGGAGGAGGAGGAGGAGGGGGAGGAGGAGGAGGAGGAGGAGGAGGAAGGACTGGAGGAGGAGGAGGAGGAGGAGGAGGAGGAGGAGGAGACCCAGACATCTGGCCGCTCCAAATGTTTCGATGCGTGGGCCCCAGAGGTCAAGACCACTTCCCTAGGGCCGGCTAGCGTCGGGCCTCTGGGGGGGGGGGGGAACTGGACCGCCTAGAGAAGGGACGGCTGCACATCAGCACGATGTGCCCAAGGGCGAGCGCTGCCCAAAGCCGACAGCGGCCGCTCTTCTGGTCCAGGGGCACAGGGCGGCGCCGAGCTGCGAGCCCACTCCCACATGGGCGAGAGCCGCTGTCTGTGGTCTCCATCGCCACCCCTCCCCCCTGCGGCAGGGGTGGGAGGAGCGGCGGCGAAGGCCACAGCAGTTCTTGCCCACTGCTTGCGACAGTGCGTCCGATTGGGGAGACTCCACCTGCTCGACACAGGCGCCAAAAAACAGCCAACATCTACTCCTTGGGGGGGGAGGGTGGGTGCGAGGGCCCGCGCCGATCGGTAAAACAATGAATAAAAAAACGATCACATTTCGCCACGTGTTCGACGAATCCGAAGCTCATTCCCGCCGCCCATCGAGTTACCTGAAACGTGGGGTCGGCTAGGATGGGGTTCGGATTGAGCCGCAGACCCCCGCAACGTTCTCCCTGAAAGCGTCGGGTATCTGCTGACCTGCGTCAATCCAGACCCGGGTCAATCGAGCCTTGCCCCCTGAAGGCGTCGGGGATCTGCTGACCCGGGTCAATCCAGACCCGGGTCAGCCGGGCTTTGCAGGATCCGGCAAAATCCTGCAGGATCCTGCAGGATCCTGCACCCAAGCCCGAGTCAGTGCACCCCTGGCCCTGCAGGACCCTGCAAGGTCTGGCGCTCTGGCTGACCCCCGTCTGCGTTGACTCTCGAGCCCCTGACCCGAGGTGCCCCCCAGAATTTCCGGGGTGGCCCCCGAGGCCTCCAGCGCACCCTTCACGAGGCCCCGAGGGCCCCAGTGCTCCAAAAATGGAGCGAAGAGCTGGGGGGCACCTTGAGCCCGAGGGGCACCTTTGTCGACCCCCGACTGAGGGCGGCCGCGGCTTTCGGCTGGCCCGGGAGCGGCGCGCCCTCGTGCACAACCTCCATGTCCTCCAGGCGCCCACCGCGGGTCCACCGCCGGAACTGCAGCGGCTCTCCTCGCGGGCGCGTCTGCCGGGGCTGCGCGGGGCGTCGGCCCAGGAGCGGCGAGAGGGCTCGCCGGCGATGATAGACACGGGAGCGGCGAGCAGGTCGGTGGCGATGATAGGCCCCCGAGGGCGATTCCGCACGGTCATTGGCGGGGAGGGGCCATCCAGTTCCGACATATATATATATATATATGTATATGTGTGCAAGCCTATGTACATATATCCACACGCTTGCGTATATATGTATAGACATGTATACATCTATATGTGTATATACACAAGTGTGTATATATATATATATGTCTGCACATACATATATGTATGTATGCATATAAATGTGTATACATGCATATGCGTGTACATACACAAATACATCTATATCTGTCTAATAGTATAAACATATATGTATATATGTGCACGAATACCTATATACACAATACACACATGCATTTACATATATGTTTACATATACGTGTATATATACAAACACAGAACACATACGTTTATATACATATACATATATATATATATACATATATATATATACGTATACATATACATGTACATATACATACACATATACATATACATAAACATGTATATACATGTAAATATGCATAGGTATATGCATATACATCTACATATACATATGCACTGGCATACGCATACACATATATATATATATATATATAAACATATACCTACATATATATATATGTATATATATATATACCCATGTACATCTACATATACCAATGCATAAACATTTACAAATAAATATGCAAATACATTTACATAAGCATACAAATACACATAATATCGAGGCTCGTGGTTACAATTTGCCTGCACTCGTGACTGCGGAACCTGATATAATGAGACCACCATGGACATGCTCAACGTTTTTAATGCTGCTGCTAGTCAACATGAGATGATAGCGACTTCGATTCGCAACTTCCCCTGGGGATTATCAAGTTCGGCCTCCGCGGCCCTCTCTACAATTAAATCCGATTGACCCGTGGTTAAAAATAGAGGGGGGAAAGGAGGGCGGTATGATTTATTATCCGGGGCACGCGTTTACTCTTAGGAAGGTTGCCCATCCTTACTATGCGGTCTGACTGTAAAAACAATATACGCAGAATGCTCGTGGATCTACAGACATTCTAGGCACGTGTCGTAGATCCGACGAACAAATCAACGATGGGACAAATCAATTCTGTAGCCGATCCCCTACTCGACCTCTGCGCGTGGTCAACGTCTGCTGGGGTGTGCGGAGTCTACGGCTGCGGGCGGCGGCCGCGGCGGCCGCGGCGGCCGCGGGGGGCGGCGGCGGCGGTTCTCGGCATGATGAACTTCGTCTCTGGCAGAACTGCGCCTAAACGGCCATTGTTCTACCTCTTCTAACTCTTCTAACTCCTAGAGGTTGCAAGACATCTTTACAACAAGTAACGCTCCTATGGCAATTTAAGCTCGAACGCGATTCCCAAGCGAGGCTACTGAGCGGTGTAGGCGAGTGCCGCCCGAGCCTAACCTTATCTGTCAACAGCTCGTGCAACCGAGCGCACTGGAAGAACACATAATCAGCAGCATCACCACCATCACCATCATCATCATCATCATCATCATCATCATCATCATCATCATCATCACCATCATCATCAGCAGCAGCAGCATCATCATCACCATCAGCATGATCGTCATCAGCAGCAGCATCGTCATCAGCAGCAGCAGCATCATCAGCACCAGCAGCCATCATCATCATCATCATCATCATCATCATCATCAGCAGCAGCAGCAGCAGCAGCATCAGCAGCAGCAGCAGCATCATCATGATCAGCTGGCCATGGGTCGCCAATTTCTCGAATAGGGGATCAGCTACATAATCAATGTATTCCATAATTCGCTTTCCGCCGGAAATACCAGAAACGCGTCTGGTGCTCGTAGATCTACGGGGTATCATATACGCATTGTTCCGTAGCTTGGCGGGAAAGTCAACTCTGGGGTAAATCAATCCTGCAGTCGATCCCCAACTCGAAGTTCGCTCAACGCCTTGCTCTGGTTTGGAGTCCTGAAACGGTGCGGTGACAGACCGTGCGGTGACCTCGGAACCCCAAGAGACCTCACCGCACGGTCCGTCACCGCACGGCCTTGGGACCCTGGAGGCCCCCGTCGCCCGAGACATCCTCGGAGAGGGGACTCGAGTCCCAAGACCGTGCGGTGACCCCGAACCCCCGCCGACTCACCACACGCTGTGGTCGCCACCCCGTTCGGGGGCCCCCGATCTGGCATCCCTTGGGCGTGGCTTAATGGGGGGGTCACAAATGGGGGGGTCAGAAAAAGTTCCCTTTCGTGCCCCTTTCGGGCCCCTCCAGAGCCCCAGGGGGCTCGTTTAGGTACCGTTTGGGTATCTTTTCGGGCCACCCTCGCCGCCCCCCCATTTATGACCCCCCCATTACGCGGCGCCCAAATCCCCGGGTGCTCTGCGCCCCCGGGGGGTCTCGAGATCCTGGCGCCCCCAACCCGACGCACGCACGGGCAGGGGCGGGCCCCGGGGGCCGCCGCAGACCGACGCTGCTCGAAGAACTGCCGCACAGCAAGGTGGGGCCGAAAGGCACCAACGCCCGAAATGGGTACCGAAAGAATGGGTAAAATGCCCAACAACAATTCCTGTTCTTTTGAACCGGATTCGCTGTCCGCGCCGCCGCAGCCTGTGTCCATTCGAGACAGAAGGTCGCCTGCCCAACAGCGGCCGCTGTTGGCTTGGGACAACATTTGTTGTTGGGCATAGTGCCCATTCTTTCAGTACCCATTTCGGGCGTCCAAGGGCGGATGGGGACGGGCGAAAGACCCAGACCCCCTCGGGCAATGAAAAAGTCACGAAGAACGTTTTGCATCATTTTCGGCCTCTGGGGGCCCTTACCGGGCCTCGGGACTGTGAAAAAACGATGCAGGATGACAAACCGGTCCCAGGGAATAGGTCGAGAACCCTGGGTGTCGACGTCATGAAAAAATCATGACGTCGGGGGTCTGGGGAAGGGTCCTCCTGCCATCGCTCGGGCTTCCATTCCGCGTGCGTTGATCGCTTTCGTGTGTCTTGATGCCAGATGGGCGACGATCAGGAACGGGTCTTGCGCAAGATGGCGCAGCGACCTCACGCGGTGACTTACGCGGGCCGCCGGCGCGGCACGCCACATTGGAGACGAGGGCGCTTACGCACGACCTTGCGCGGGCAGCTCACGCGCCGGTGTCGGCGCAGACGACCCCGTTTTTTGACGTCGCCCAGACGATCAAGGTGGCGGTCCCCGCCAACACGCATGCACGCGTCCGAGCGATGCCAAGAGGACGGGGCGCTGCAATGGCTTCACACCCACAGGCGTGTCCGCCAGACTTCGGGCCCTGCGACCCTCACCGAATCCTCATCTGGCCCGAGGAAACAGAAGCGCGGCCGAAGGCCGACGCCTACTCTTAGGTCGGGAATGTTCCCCTACAGGCGGATTTCGGAGGAAATATAAGAAGTAGTCAAAACAGATTCAAGGGTATCGAAAATAGTAAGGAATCGCTCCCAGAGCATTGTTCGAATATGTTTGAACACTCCTCCTGTAGAGGGACAGGCCCGCCTCAAGCCTGCTCATGGTGCTATGGTCGCCATGCCTCTTTTTTCTCGCGACGTCGGAACTCAGGCTGGGGCGAGCTCGGGAGGAGGGAGCGCGACGGGCCAAGTCGGGCGCCAGGATCTGTAATTACCTACCCGCCGCTCCCGACCAGGCCCACGAGCGGCGAAGTTGTACGCCCTCCCAGCCTCTTGGCCAGGAAGGCGTGCACGCTGCCGAGAGCCGAGGACCCCGGTCGTGATTCTCGCGATGCTGCTGTCCCCAACTAGGCTCGGGTCGGGCAGATCCCCCTTCAGGCAGATTTTAGAGTTGGAGGAAAAAAAATCAGAAAACATTCGGAACCAAAAATGATCCAAAGTAATCAAAAAATCGTCCCCCGGCTATTTTTTACTATTTTTGGATATCCCTCCTGTAGAGAGACATGCCCCACTTAAAACTAGGCTTGCCTAAGGGACTCTTGCTTCGTCAAAAATTGGTGCCTCGGGGGCTTCCTTTGCCTGTTCCCCGGAGATTCCTCGGGTTAACACGGGCTCCCCGGGTTCCCCAGGTTCCCCGGGTTCCCCGGGTTCCCCAGGCTCCCTGGGTTCCACAGGATCCCTGGGTTCCCCGGGATCTGGTTCCCCGGGTTCCGCGGATTCCCTGGGTTCCACGGGTTCCCCGCCCCAGGTGCCTCGTCGTCTTGCTGCGCCCGCTCCAAGCAATGGCATGCAATGCCGAGCAATGCCGAGCAATGCAAAGCACTGCACCTGCTGCAACGAGGAGGAGGAGGTGGAGGAGGAGGAGGAGCAAGAGGAGGAGGAGGAGGAGGAGGAACAGGAGGAGGAGGAGGCTAAAATGGTCTAACAATATCCTTCTTTTCTCTTCCAAAACCTCTTCCCTTCCGGGAGGTTTACCTCTCCCCCGTCCCTGAAGTTGTTTGAAGGGTTCACGGAGTGTCAGGGCGCCCAAGATGGCCTCGGCGAGAAGGCCTGAATCATAGATGTTACTCAGGTGTTGGGCCCATTTGGGCAATCTTGCTGGTCCCAGGTGGAGAAGACAAACTGCCCCCCCCCCCTTTGATCGATGACCCCAGGAAGACCTCCTGGGCTCCCAAGGGACCCCAAAAAGAGCCCCAAGAGGGCCCCAAGAGGGCTCCAAACACCCCCAAAAAAGCCCTTAAGAGGACCCAAGATCCCCTGAAAGAGTCGGAAAAGCACTCCAAAAGTTGATGTTGAGGGCTCTGCTCTCGTCCTCGTTGTCCTCCTCCTCCTCCTCCTCCTCCTCCTCCTCCTCCTCCTCGTCGTCGTGCTTCCCCTCATCGTATTCCGTTTCCTTTTCCTCCTCTTCCTCGTCGTCGTGGTTGTCGTCATTGTCCTCCTCCTCCTCCTCCTCCTCCTCCTCCTCCTCCTCCTCCTCCTGATCATCATCAGCATCATCATCACCACCACCACAACCACCATCATCATCATCATCATCATCATCATCAGCATCAGCATCAGCATCAGCAGCATGTTCATCAGCATCATCGTCATCGCCACCATCATCATGATCATCATACTCAGCATCATCAACATCAGCATCAGCATCAGCATCATCATCATCATCATCATCATCGTCATCATCATCATCATCATCATCATGATCATCCGCGCCCGCATCATCAGCATCAACATTTTTATCATCAGCATCAGCATCATCAACATCATCATCAACCCGTCGTCATCATCAGCAGCATCATTAGTATCATCACCACCATCATCGGCATCATCATTGCAGCATCATCATCAATATCATCATACTATTCAGCATCGTCATCGTGATCGTCATCCTAATCATCATCGTCGTCACCAGCAGAATCATCATCGGCTTCAGCATCTGCATCAGCATCATCATCATCACCACCACCATCATCATCATCATCAGCAGCAGCATTATCAGCATCATCATCAGCAGCATCAGCATCAGCAGCATCATCGTCATCATGATCGTCATCATCCCCCATCCTCCATCCCCTCCTCCTCCTCCTCCTCCTCCTCCTCCTCCTTCCCTCGCCCCCACGCGGGCCCCAGGGATGGCCCGAAGAGGCCCTCCAACGCCACCCCCTCGCTTCCAAACATCTCGCTCTTCACCCTTGTCGCCCGCTCTGCTTCACTACAAGCGTCTCTTCGTCCCTGCTCCGTCGACTCTCATTGGCAGGGTTCTCGAATGGGCGGGTGGGGATACGCGCAGAGCGAAGAATCTGTTCCTCCTCTGACCTCCAACCCCGCTCAGTCCCGAGTGTGTGGTGGGGCCATGCACGGCAGTCGTGGCCACCAGCACGGAGTTGGGCCCCTCGTAACTGATGATCGTCCTCGCCTCCGTCAGAGAGAAGCCTCGACCAAAGCGAGGGAGGAACGAGCCAGAAAGAGGGCACCAGAGAGGAAGAGGATGAAGAAGAGGAGGGGGCGGTCAGGAAAATTACGAGATCCAAGTTCGAATTTGAAATCTGACAACCCACGAAATTTGAATTGTTAAAGCGCAATTGAAGCAACAGTTCGGCAGACTCGGGCCCTTCATGTCCCCAGTAAGGGAATGAGAGAAGGACAAGGGGGACTAGAAGGAGGAGGAAGAGGAGGAAAAGGAGGACAACGACCAGTGTAAACCCAAGACGGATCAACGATGCAGCAATAAACCCGCTCTCGAATATCCCGGTTCATAGGCCCCTGGAAGAATGCATTCCATTACGGAGAATGCCGCATTGGACGACGACCTCCTTAGAATGCGCGAGCGTACCAAGACACAAGACCTGGGATTTCCTCGCCGCGAACCGACAGAGCTGTTGCATCCTGACAATCCTAAACCGTGCCAGAACACAACTCCTGTGACTTCAGCACCGCGAATCTATGTGACTGGCACGTTATAATAAGTATGCCTACACTGTGCAAGCACACCATGACTGGAACTTCAACCATTCGAGTCCTTGAAACTGCTGCAGATACTTGTAAGACGCACGAGCATAGCGATGATTCCTGTCGTTGGTGATCAGCTGCGAAGGTGCGTCGCCACCAAAGCACGCGGCGCGACGATCGGCGCAACGTCGTTCAAACGCCGGACAGCCCGACACGCGAGAACGAACGGCGCGCCCATCGCAAGGCCGCAGCCTGCGAGCACGCCTTGAAAAGAAGAAACCTCCTCGGACCAGCCCCCGAGCGCTCGGAACCAACACGGCTGCCTGCGCGCCTCCACGAGCACCCGCGATAATCTCAGGGGGGACTGCAGCGCATCGACCTATGGCGTCGCGCCGTGCCCCAGATCTCTGCGCAGCCATGCTGCGTCTGCCACTCGGCCGCGAGCGGCTGTCTGATCTCGCCCCAGACTCAGCAGGAAGTGACCATCAGCGCGATGAGGCGCGCGCCTCCGCCAGGCTTGGCCAAGCGAACTGACTCCGCCGTGACCCTTTCGCATGGCCAGGCCAGCAATGCTTCGCACTCGTTGAAAAAGTAAGCCGGCGCCTGCGGGGCACCGCCGGAAACCTATAACAAAGCCCGCGGGGCAATCTTGAAAGGCCCAGCAGCGGCGCGAGCGTTCCAAATCACAAGGGCGCGCCACGCCCGCTCGACACCAATGCGCGGAAGAGGGGGCCAATACTGGGCCCCAGGGGGCAACGGGAAAGGGTTGCGGCCATGGGCCCTCCAGGGCACAATAGCCCCCTGTCGAGGCGGGCGCGCGGCTGCGCGTCAGCGCTCGAATGCAGGACCCCCCGGAGAGGACTGACCTCCCTGATCAGGGAACGGCGGGACTGGGCCGCAATTCCCAGGAAGGTCTCTCGGGCCCAAGCAGCCCAGGCCTGGGCCGCGGCGGGCCCCGCCCTCGGCGGCGGCGAGCGCGCGGCGCGTGCCCCGCGAAGTCGGGCCGATCAAGCACCTGCAATCCACTGGGGAAAAAACTCAACGCTGTCGGAACACAGGCAAAAGAGCCCTGACACAGCCTGCCACGCTTCTCATGGACCGGCGAAACTCTTGAGATGCACGGCGCAGCTTGGCCCACTTGCAAGGAAAAGCTTGCGCAGTGCTGACGCCGCTTGAAGGCGCCCAACCTCCTCCGAGCGAAACTGCCCAATCGCGCACTGCCCAATCGTGCCGACGCGCCTGGCCCAACGGAGAGGAGCGGCCCAAGCCGTGGCAAGGCCCCTGTAGGCGCGAGTTCCTGAAGGGGCCAACGCGAACTTCTTCCGGGGATCTTCTGACCCGGGTCAATCCAGACCCGGGTCAGCAGGAAACCAAAAAACTGCAATGCAAGAAACACTGTAGCGCAGGGCCTCGCAAACCCGGGTTAGCCAATAGGCGCGGCCGCCCCGCGGCCACGAGCGGCTCGCCAACCCGGGTCAGCCAGAGGGGCTTCGCAAAATCCTGCAGGATCCGGTGCTCTGGCCGACCCGCTTGCGTTGACCCCCGTCTCAAGGCCCCCGGTTCGTCCGATAACTTTGCGGGGGCCTCGCCCTGCCGAACCCGCCAGCCACGTCGGGCCCCGCGCGGCCCCGCGCGGAGACGAGCCCAAGCTCAATCCCCGTGGCGCCCACGCCCCAAAAGCCAGAGAGGGCTCCGCGTTAACCTTGGGGCTAGCAGTCTTCAGCACGGCGCTCCAGGGATGCGCGGGAGGGCGCGCGCAGCCGCTGGGCGGGGCAGCGGGGGTGGACGGCGGGCAGCGGGCTGCGTCAGTCGACTCGCCCACGCGCGCGACAGGGCCAAGGCGCGAGGCGAGCATGCGGCTGGCCAAAGTAATCAACGGTGGCGCCCGCCCCCGCCTGCCGACGCGCCGCGGCCAGCGGCGGGAAAGACGCAAATTGGACCGCATAGAACCGCGGCGACTGCGCAAGCCCATCGATCCCCACAATCAAATCTGCACAGATGGATGCTGATTGGCGCTGAGTACGCAGACGCACTGGCCGTTTGCCTGGCCGAGGCCTAAATGCGCAGAAATGACGACAATGCCGCGGGGGGGGGGGGGGGGGGCAATGGAAGCGGGCTGCAACGGCGCGGCCTGGGCCCAGCACGGAGCCCTGCCGCTCAGGCGGCGCCGTGGCTATCACTGAAATGGGCAGCAAAACGGCCACCTCACGCGACGCCCCAGGCCCCCCGCCTCGCTCAGCACGGCGGCCGCCCGCAGCCCGCGGCACCCCGCGTCTAGATAAGCGCGTTGCTCGTCCGCGAGCATGGCTTGACAAACGCGGCGCCCCTGCACAGCTGGGACCGCTGGTCTCGATCGGACAGGAAAACCCTGAACGGGCCGAAGGAAGCGGTGGTGAGCGCACAAATCACTAGACTGCCGGTCAACTTCGCCTGAGCCCTGTTGGCCTTGGAGCGGCAAGCTGAAGCGCCGGGGGTGACCTGGGCCGCGGCCAGGGTGGGAATGGCGCGGGGTCCTGTCGCAGGCGAAACAGAGCTGGGACCCAATGCTGCTCCGCTGTCGTCCTGGCCCTCATGCTGCGAAAAAGGATCGGCTTGCCAAGGCCCAGACACCCCGCGATAGTCAGGCCCGCGTTCGCAGCACCATCGAAAGAAAATGACGACTGCGAGGCAGCAGCCGGCCTCGCCCCTGCCAGCAAGAAAGAAGACGCCATCATGACGATGGTAAAAATATCCATGTACCGAGCGATCAAGCTCATCTCATGCCTGCCCTGCGGTATTGATCTTCTTGTGCGCCCCGTGCACCCCTGCCATCTGCCGCCTGAGCTGCTCGCGCAACGGTGCGGGGTCGGCAGGCGCCTCCTCGCCTGGCACTGGCACGTCGATGCCCACGCTGCAGAGGTGCTCGCGGCAGGTGGCTGCGTCGAAGCCGACCACGTGCGAGGTGGCGTCGTCGTCGACCTGCATGCGGTGGATGCTGTCCTCCGCTGCGGCCGCCGCCGCTGCCGGCGTGCCAGGCTGGGCACCGCCAGGCTGCGTGCCACCATCGCCGTTGCCTGCCGTCTCTGGTGTGGGCGGCTGCTGCAACATGTCTGCTCCGTCCATGAGCTCGCCCACCACCGCAGCCAGGGCGGCAAGATCAGCAGCAAAGCGTTCGCCACCGCCCAGGCTCCGCACCACGCTGCCGAACCGCCCGACGGTCGTCTCGAGCCCCGGAATGAAATCGGAGAAAGACGGGGGGGCTGCCATGCTGCGCTGGGGCCACTTGCGCCACGACTGTGCGCATCCTGGGTTCCAGCTCGAGGATATGCTTGGCGGCCTCCATCTCGTCCTGCCAAGGCCTGCTACAGCGCCCTGGGCGCCTTCTCCACAGCCTGTTCGGCCATCTCTTCTTGGATCTTCACGTCGTCTACTTCCGCCTGGCCTCCTGCAACTGCCTTAAGAGCACGGTGGCGTTTGTGTCCAAGGGTTAGGCGGCCTCCAAGTGCGCTTGCAGTTCACATCGCTCCTTCGTGTACTGCTGACGGACCAGCAAATCCCGCTCCGAGCAGCCAAGGAGACTGGACTTGAGGAAGGCGTTGATGTCGTCGAGGCGTTTCCTGGTCCCTGGCAAAGGCCTGTCAACACACCATGGAGGGGCCACGCCGCTACTCTGCCCCGCCGCTTGGGTCCCTTCGCCACCGCTGCTGCCAACCAACTCCTGCATCTGCTTGCGCAGGTCCGCCAGCTGCTTCGTGAGCGACTGTTCGCGGGCACTGGTGACGGCGGCAGAACGAGTGGCGGGGGGGCCTTGTGCTGGCTGGTGCCCCTTGAACGCCGCCCCTTTGGGCAAGCCGCACTGCGAGAACCACATGTGATCGGCACGCTTGATCCATGGAATGCTCGATGGCTCGTGCTCACACCACTTGCAGTACCACGGCTGCGCGTTGGCCCGCCACTGCTGGCGGCCCGGCATGGCGCTGACTGGATGAGCGCTGGGTCACTCCAGCTGCGGCAGGGGGGGATCGTGTCGGCTGACCGTCCGAGGCGCGGACCACGGACAAAAACTGCACCGCCTGGCGGCTCGTACAGTGAGGCGATGAAAGACTTGCCTGTCTAGCCGCGGAGCAGCGGCATCCACTTGCTCCCAGGGGAAACTCAAAACCTTGAGCCAAAACGGCTTGAACCAAAATGGCTACGGATAGGAGGGGGTGGAAGAGATGGAGAAGGAGAAGGAGGAAGAGGAGGAGGAGGAGGAGAGGGTGGAAGAGGTGGAGAAGGAGGAGGACGAGGATGATGAGGAGGAGGAGGAGGACAGGCCCTGAGGGGGAAGGCCTCTCCTGTGCGACCAGGTTTTGCCGCGGTGATCATTCTCAACCTCCTCCTCATCCTCATCATCATCCTCCTCCCGTTCCTCCTCCTCCTCGTCCTCCTCCTCCTCCTCCTCCTCCTCCTCCTCCTCCTCCCCCTCCTCCTCCTCCGCCTCCTCCTCTTCCTCCGCCTCCTCCT